ATGTTCCGAGAATAAATAAAAGATGTGAAATGACTTTTAGATGTGCAAAGATCCTCACGACCCTGTCTCCTCACAAGGAACAACAGTAGTGAGTCTTCACGACCCTGTCTCCTCACAAGGAATAACAGTAGAGAATGCTATTCTAAAACTATAACGGAAAAGTTTCTCATGACTCTGTCTCCTCACAAGGAACAACAGTAGTGAGTCCTCATAATAACAGTCAACAATTAAAATTTTAAAGTTTATTACTTTAGGTTGCATACAACTCGTTCTTCTAGTAACTTCAGAAAAATCTTTAACATATACTGTTAACCCACAAATGGATATAGTGTTGGATCACAAAATATATACAATAAAATAAATTTACATTATTATAGAGTACCAAATAACCGTATTTAATATGGCTAATAATGTAAATAACCGGCTATAGATCCGGATAGCCATCCATAGCTGATCATTCCCATACTTATGTATACAAACTAGCTATTAACCAATTTAACCAGCTACTTATACATGATAGAGAATAGAGACTAACTTAATTTAAGTATGTCTAATAATGTAAATAATCGGCTATACATCACAGAACCTACACACCAGGTTATTTCCGTAAACTATATTTCTATATACCGATTAAACAGCATATTAACAGTGCCTTAACATCAGACCATTATTTTGTATTATTTAGACATGGTAAAGAAATAACTTACAAGGCCTTTTTCAGTTTCTCAACTAGCTTCCCAAACTTCACAGAATAATCATCCCTTTGACTCTCTCTGAACCCCATCAAATGAAATTCCCTTGTCCTTTGCAGAAACTTTTTGTCACATTGGTAGTTCTCAATAAGAATAGCGGGAATAGTTTTCTGTCTCTTGCTTTTATGACAAAATTGTGCTAAAATAATATCGTCGCTTTCATTTATATCCTCAATAGAACCAGCACCCTCCAGAGATTTAGCATTCTCTTCTTGCGTAAGTCCAAGAGAAAATGATGGGGGAAACACTAAATTCGGCTGAACATACTGCAATAATTAAGATTGATTAACAGTAAGTATGACATTATATGCAAGAAATATAAATCCAAAACACACCTCATTATGATCTTCTATGTTGTCTAATCCATCATTATCTTCTTCATCAACAGATTTACCATTTTCAAGAGGCTCCTAAGTAAGTAAAACATAAGAGAATTAGAGTGGCTATGGCTAGAGGAAGACTTAACCAAGACATTACATAATAATGTAGGCTTTATCTTACATCAGATATGCGATGGTGAAGAATGATATTGTCACCTACCTCGGAACAATTACCAGCATTGGGACCATTTCTATTACCATTGGCATCACCTTAAAACAACATCAAAAAACAAATAGTCAATTAATTTTGTGCCACACTAAATCAAGAATAAAAAATAAAATCAAAACACATACAGTATCCAAAGGCAAAGTTTTCAGATCTCCAAGTACAACTGCAATGGCACAATCAACGTCTTGATGGAAGAAATTTTTTACCTTGTTCGGATGCTCATACCCTAGAGAGTGTGCCTGTTTCCTATTGGCATCATTAACATTGCTCCTCTCTCCACATGTATTCTGCCTTTGAAGATTGGTAGCGGCTTTGTCCGTAAACGCAATGATACCATCAAGGACTTCAGTTTTCATTTTCAGAATCTATTGAGTGATCTCAAGTGTAATGTCCGTCTTTAATAATGAGAATGCAGTTTTGAGCTCATCCATCTTCACAAAAGTATCATTCACCTTCTCCTCCACTCTTATAATTTTTCATTTCCATTTATCAGCCACCGCATCCATTATCTGTTGAACATCACTAGCTGTCAAATCAAAGACTACACCACCACCAATGCTTGTCTTTGCCATATCAGTATTGCCTACAGCTCTCTTTTGTTTTCCTTTGGCGTTTTTCTCTTGAGCCTCTTTGATCATACGAACAACATCAGCCTTAGTAGCACCACCAATAAACATTGAGCTACAAAAAGTTTTCTCCTCATTGATAAGACGCATCATGTTATCAACCTTAGAATCTTTTATCTCGTTGGACCATCCTAGCATTGTTTCATCCAATTCTTCTTCACCATCGTCAGGTATTATGCAATTGACAGCAGTCTGCAACATGTAAAGACAAATTAGAAGACAGAAAAGAGCACTTAACCTAAACGAGACAAAATATATGCTAATTTATTTTGTAACCGTCTAAAAAATCAACTACAAACTATCAAATCATTAGCTAGCTAGTCATATTTACCATAGGATCATCATGCAAATCTCTGTCATGAGAATGACTCAGACTTGTTTTTTTAATACTCGGCTCTTCATTATCCCAGTCCCCATCGGACTCAGACTCCGATGTACAGTTATCTTGAATAACCTCTAACAATGCAGGCACAACCTCAACCATCACAAGCTGGATAGCATGAACAAAACCTTTAATCGCAATGGTAGATTGCGACAAAGTAATCTCATTCCTCTCTTTGATGCTACTCATCATCATATCAAAAGCTAGCCTACCCCAAGGATAGGCGAAAAAGATCCTTAAATCTTTTATTTCCTCTGCATGTTCCTGTACAATCTTCGGATGGTGGATCAGTAGGAGTACCAAAGCCTAAAGAGCTAGTAAAACATACTTGATCCTCGTCTCTTTGTCTGTCACTGTCTTCCGCTTCAACATCTTGATCACCGCTGCAACATACAATATCGAGTTTTTACCAATAGAGAAGGCCAATACGGTGTCTCTACAATGTTGTTCTTCAGCTTCTTCTTCGATTTAGCCGGGAACATGCCACATGGCAAACTAGTAACAATGGCGAACTCTCTAAGAGAGAATCTTACCAGTTTGCCAGCAAAAAGAAACTAGATTTCATGGTTTTTTTCCACCTTAAGCTGTCGGGACATTATGAATCGGCCAAATCTCCCTGAGTAGGAAGGTTGTTCCGCGGTGGAAATGAACTTGCCGAATGTCGATTAATTCCCAAATCAAATCTCTTTCATCTTCTTCTAAAGCATTCATAATAGACCTAATTCCATTAGAAGGTCCATATAAAGTTACCCTAATCCCAACAGGCTCCTCACCGACGGCAAACATCCTCAGCAGCAGTTCTATACGTTCCGACATCTTCTCAACTGTGGAATACACAAAAAAAGTCAGATCTGAAACATGCATAAGAAAACTAAAATGTTTTGATTTCATGTAAAATTGTAGACATCTAGCCTGAAAGAGTGGAAGCAATGAGTTTTGTTAGCAAACTT